GTGCGGGCGCGCCGCGTGTGGAGGCGGCGGAGAACGACGGAGAACTCGTTCGGCAACTTTCATGAATCATGATGGCGCGTGATGCATGCACGTACGTACGGCATCAGCACGAGGCGCAGAGTTGCAGCGGCAGTCGTGAGTCACCAGTGGACAAGACGCAAGTGCGTGGTGAGTCGTGAGTGGGTGGCGAGTCTTCTGATGGATTCCACTCGCTGTGCTTCGGGGCTGACTGTGCAAGTACTCGACACGGCCCGACATCAAAGCGGCACAAAGTCATCAGAGCTAAGCTTACATGGCACTCGTGACTGCCGGTGATCGCCCAATATGACTGTTGACTGGGGTATGTGAGATCGGATTGTGCATTGGTGAGGGAGAATGTCGAGGCTGGGCTAGATTGCACGCAAGATCTGGCAGGGTTCGTTGCCCTTTGCGCCTTCTCCATTCTGCTCCGCTCTGCTGAACCCGGCTCGAGTCGCCACTTGTTCGAGTGTGGATGAGCGCTATATAAAGTCGCATCGTTTCGCATGTCCAACATCTGGGTCGCCTCTACATTCACATCAAGATCACAGCAAGCACGCACCATTGTAGCAAAGTCGAACGAACGAACAGCAACACCTCGCCCAACATGTCAGCAGCCCTAGCTTCAGCAGCAGCAAAGAGTCCCACTCGTCCGTTTAGCAACACAGGCGAGAGGGTGTCCACCATCGGATACGGTGCAATGGGCCTCGCAGCCTTCTACGGCAAGCCAAAGACCCAGTCAGAGTGCGATGCGGGTGAGTGGCCAGCCCGCCAGCAGGGCATGCCATGCCATGCATGCCATTACGGCCTTCGCTCTGCGCTCCTGAGCTGACATCTCGCTCTTGCTGATCACGACCGCATTCAGTCTTTGAGCGCCTCTTGCAGCTGGGTGTGACCTTTTGGGACACCTCTGACATCTACACTTCTCGACCTTCCCTGGGTCAGGGCGAAGAGCAGATTGGCTCGTGGTTCAAAAGCGCAGGCAAACGTGATCAAGTCTTTCTCGCCACAAAATGGGGCTTCGCGCTAGATGGTCAGGGCAACAGGAGTCAACATGGTGAATATGATTACGCCATTTCGGCTTGCGAAGCATCTCTTAAGCGCTTGAACACGGACAAGATCGACTTGTACTACCACCATCGCCCTGCTCCTGGTCAGATCGAGGACAGTGCGAGAGCAATGAGGGATCTGAAGCAGCGCGGATCCATCAGATATGTCGGAGTGTCCGAGTACAATCTGGATCAGCTCAAGGCATTCAACGACATTGTACACATTGACGCTTTCCAAATCGAGCTCTCTCCCTGGACACCTCAGCCTCTCTTCAACGGTCTGGTGGATTGGTGCACGGCGAACAAGACGCAAATCGTTCCTTATAGTCCTTTGGGTCGCGGCTTCTTGACTGGCAAGTACCAAAAACCATCCGACCTGTTCAGCGAGGGAGATTTCCGAAGCGCAAATGCGCGTTACACAGAAGAGGCCTTTGCGCACAATATGAAGCTGGTGGATCAGATTCGTGCGATCGCAGCGCAAAAGGGAGCCAACGTCACGCCCGGTCAAATTTCTCTCGCTTGGCTCTTGGCGCACGGCGACAATATCACACCCATCCCTGGAAGCACGCAGATTGCGAACATCGAAGAGAATGCAAATGCTGCTGCGATTCAATTGACGCGCGACGAAGTGGCGAGCATCGACAAGTTGGTGCAGGAATTCAAGACGCTTGGTGAACGCTACCCTGCTTCGTTCCAAGCTACGCTCGCCTTTTGATGTCTCCCGGTCACATCACCCACAAACGTGGTTGCAATACTATTCCACTTCCTTCAGATGCGCCTCTGATTCGAGGCTGAGCGCGCAGAGATGGGGGCAGTTTGGTATCACATCCACTATGCCATGAGCATGCATCCTGAACCCAAGCGCCGCTTTGGAGAGAACACACGTAGCCTGTGAGATGTTGCGGGCGGAGGGAGCATCACGCTGTGCGGTACTGGACTAACACCGCACACATATGTGAAGGGAGGTGCGCCTTCGTACCACCAGCGAAAGAAATGAGCATTGAGCAGAGAAAATTTGGCGTCCTTGTTTTCTGATAAAGATTTCGTAGAAGTGTGGCATATCAGCGCGTGGTGGTACGTGGCGAATCCTTTACTCAAAAAGCCCCCACGCACGAGGTGCGCATCAGTCGCTCAGCGCTGAACAATGGCTGACTGGGCGATGCATGTGTTGCGCTTGATTCGGTGACAGCCAGAGCATCAAGAATGGCGGTATCAGATCTTGCCTTGGTGTCATCGTGAACATGCTTGACTTGCGAGAGTGAATGTTCACCATGGTTCAGGCGGAAGTCGCGCCGCAACGCGCCCTTGCAACACCATCCCAACGTTGCATACCAGCTGCATCGGCCTGACATTCAACAGCGAGCGCGCGCGATGTCCTTCAGACGGCCCCATAAGGCGCCTTCGGTCATATCGGCATCATGTACCTTGCACAAAGATCTAATCGGTGCTCATCAGACTGAGCTACGAAGCACGGCGTCAATGCATCGATTCGGGATCTGGAGACACGAGTCGAAACAAAGACCAAAAGGGGACCAAAGCCAGCGAAGAAAGGGAGTACGACGTAAAGTCATGAAAGAAGTGAACCTGCTGAGACGGAGATGAGAACCGAGACCTGGGGGTACGTAGCCGGTGCGTAATAGGGTATACGACGTAAGTCATGAAAGAAGTGAACCTGCTGGAACGGAGACGAGAACCGAGACCGAAGGGGTACGTAGCCGGTGCGTAACAGGGTATACGACCTAAGTCTGTAAGAAGTGAACCTGCCTCGGACGGAGATGAGAACCGAAACCGAAGGGGTACGTAGCTGATGCGTAACAGGGTATACGACCGAAGTCTGTACGAAGAGAACCTGCACGGATGGAGATGAGAGCCGAGACCCAAGGGGTACGTAGCTGGTGCGTAACAGGGTGTACGACCGAGGTCTGTACGAAGAGAACCTGCACGGATGAAGATGAGACGAGACCGACGAAGGTCGTACGCAGTCCATGAAGACCATCGTAGGGAGAGATGCTGGGAGAGACGCGATGGTGACGGTGATGGTCGCGCCGTCGAACGCTCGGTGCATTGGAAAAGGGCAACGATCATGACAAAGTCACGTCGAGCAGAAGAAGGAAAACTGGTCGCGTCACCATCAACCTTAGGAAGACGATGACGACGACCAGACGGGAGCTGGTCCGCAGAGCATCATCCTTATGGCGATGAGCTAGTAGCAACGGTGTTAGCACCGCCTCTACGAACCGAAGACTCCCGTGCTTATAAGAAAAGAGAACAATGCACCGAGACGAACGACAGACGACGACGACGTTGACAACCGACTACCATGCCGTTGAAGAGCGTCTTCCCGCTAGTGGCCCACGCCGGCGAGCAAGGGCTTTGGGACGAAGGGCCCTCTTGTACTGGATGGGAGCGCACAGCGTCAGTAGGGAGCTTGGCTTGGTTCCATGTCTGTCAAGTTCAACTCACTGCTCGCCGGTCGTGTGGTAGCGGAAAGATCCGCCGGACAGTCGACGCTGCTCCTGGTCAAACACCGCGTCGTTTCCATCGCGGGCAAGACGAGGACGCGCGACTGCTGGCACCTTGCGAGCCAGAGGACGACGAGACTCGCGGTCCCTCGCGATTCGCACTTCCCTGGTGAGCAGAAGAGGAATCACGTGGAACCTTGGGCCTGGTCCTCTGGCTTGCTTCCGTCCGTTGTTGACCAGGCGAAAGGCGCGAGGGAGGGCGAGGGCGGCGAGGGCGAAGGCGAAGGTGGCCGCAACGGAGAAAGGACGACCAAGGACGAAAGAAAAAGCCTTGGCGGCGAAAGGGGCGGCGAAGGCAAAGGCGGGGGCGGCGGGAG